CCGAATTTTGCCTTCCTTTTTTTTTAAATTAAGACTATGTAGGAGTCATGTTAAATTATTAGTAAAAAATAGTATTTTTTTTAGCTTCTGTGTTGAATTTGTGTGAATATTAAAGTCTTAACTTAATACATATATTTAGACAATTATAATGTCACTTTCTTACCTCTTTCTTTGATGTTTGAATTTTAATTTTTATCTTAGCAAAATAATTTGATGTTTTAAATACTAGCTTTTGCTAGCGGCTTCGCTCGCGTCTTCCGGATGAAAAGCCAGTAGCCATAATGCAATGTCTTAATTCACTCTATTAACTATCTCTGTGCGATTTTTTATAAAACCACATTCGGTAGCTTTTGCGTGATAAAATACCAAACATCAATCCATACATACATTATGCGCCTAAAACATTAATGTAATTTTCTGTTATGATTTTTTTACTTTATGTAATGCAATTTGCAATGCGATTGTAGTCCTATTTAGTGACAATGTTTTTTATGTAATAGTTCGGCAAATGAGCAGACGGATTACCTGATGGTTAGCAATTAGCGCCCATGGACACCCGCAACAGAGGAGTTACGAGTGCGTTGCTGACCTTCTGGGGCTTAGGATTTGGAGATTAAGGGATTGGGGGAGGGAAAGGATTGGGCCTCCGATAACCTCACTAACACGGCGAAACACAATGCTGTGATTGTTTCACGCCGTTTTTCTGTGAGGCCGTGATATCACTCCGGTCGAGCCGAATCATTCGAATCGAAGCATGGCTCTCACGTACTTAAAACTTAAAATGTCAAGCGACTTTTGCTTCAACATCAATTCAGTCTGGCGACACAATCTATCGACAGCGAATATATATTACTATCCATATAGCGAATACATACATATAATTATGTTATTTTGAGCCTAGATTACTGTGCGTGCGATTTCATTCGTGTTTGTGGGTGAATTTATCCATCCATCTTAATTCCCTAAACTAAGTTTCATTCCATGATAAATTCGGAGCGACAGAGCGAACAATTTTACATAGTACCTATTCCTCATAGAAGACTGATAAAATCTCATGCTGAGACTGAATTAAATTAGTTAATAATTTACTGGTATTTTATAACTCAAATGCATTTGTCACGAAATTAGATGAGTTTACTCTATAACGAATGATTCGAGACCATAACTATAAATAAGTAAACCTTTTTTTACTCCAAGGTGAAAAATCCTCATTGGTCCCTGTCAGACTCTTACTGAAAATAAGCTGACTTTGTGTCCTGTCTCTCACGTGGATCTGAGGGTGTGGGAACCAATTTAATTCTTAGCAACAGCTAAGGGTTGTAATTTACATAAAAAATCTATCCGTCGAACTGATACTGAACTTTTTTTAGATACGGGGTGTGGATTATATCTATACTAATATTATATAGTATGTAAAATTTGTAAATTTGTAAGTTTGTATGTAGGGGTAATCTCTGGAACCGCTGGTCGGATTGCCAAAATTCTTTCACTGATAGATAGCTACAATGTTCTTGAGTGCTATAGGATATAAAACATCACGCTACGATCAATTAGAGCTGAGCAGCGGGTGAAACCGCGCGAGTGTAGCTAGTATGGAATATTTCGTTCTTCGATGGCTCAGCAATGCAGTAGGTAACAGTGGCGATGTAAAGGTGTGTCCTTTGGTATGAAGTGTCGTCATCTCCTTGAATCCTACACTGGTATGGCGAAACAGAAATTTAACTTAAGTTAGGCCAGATCCTTTTTGCATCGCGCCTTATAATTCCTAAAAGAGCAGTTATTCGTTTTTTAAATTGAACTTTTAAATTACTTATTTGAGTCATTTAAAATTATTCTTTGCTGTGCTTATTTTTACTTAAACAATCCTAATATTGCGTTATGATTACTATATTGGTATTCTGTAGATACCTTGAGTAGCTTTTCGAGGTCTAATTGTATCTATATGTTTTCGCAAATTTACATTTTTGAGGGGCGGGGGGAAAGCCTAAAAAAATTCTTCTGCTTTGGGTAGGGCGAGAAGAGGAACACACTTTTACTGACTTAAAACCACTCCATACCTTCTCCGGCTTCAGGCCGGGCATATTTTTGTGCTAGCACACAATTCCGACATTAAAATAAATATTGTACATATTATGTATAATTGGTACAATTAAAGTCTGTTACTTTAAATACCTACTTTAATAACCTTACTTTATGTAGGTTGTGCGCATTATGAAGAAGAGGCTTTATGGCTTTATATGTTTCGTAAACAATGTTCCTTTCTGAATCCGCGAACGAATGGTGTTGAATGCAAGCATCTGTGCCACAAACACGTTTGTAGTAACTTGCAATCACTAACTTATAAATAAAAAAGTTATCACAACTACATAATACAGTCTTTCCTTTAATACATTTCGTAAGATGTATTAAATTAATTAATTATTTTAATCAGTTTACTCACGTAACAGATTTTCGAGATAACACGACAAGTTTCAGCCACACTTGGGACTGATATTTATGAGCAGCATACAATTACAAATTGTGATAATATATACGAGTACAGCGTAACGTAATAGTAGTACTTATCTATTTACTTTTTTATACACTCACTGTTAACGATTATTTGGGCATTTTTCAGTAACCTCTAAAAACCTTACCTAAGGACTTTCAATATGCAACTAAACTAACAAATTCCGTCTTTAATTGCATGTTATCAGCATTGGTTGCTGCGAAACGTCGGTCTCGGTTTCGATCCTGAATACTCTCATGTCATAGGCTGTGTGAGAAGCCACAAAAGTAGAGTAAATACACTCTCACTTTCGTACCTACTTTGAGAAAAATTTCAACCTTCAGGTTTTGTCTACTAAGCACAACACAAGACTTTTAAAGGCGATATAAAACACCGTTTAACCGATTAAATAAACAATTTTGATTAAATTCTGAAGAAAAAGAACGAAATCTATTTAATATTTGTAGATATTTGATTTGAATATTCTCATTACATTCGTATTTATCTTAAGTCTGTCGAGTACGTGAAGTTAGGACTAGGATGAACTGTACGTACATCCTAGTCCTAACCTTTACCTAGTCCTTTACAAGAGGCTTAGCTGGACCAGGTAGTAATTTAGGAAGGTAACTTACATCTTTGCGTATCAACTGTTTTAGTTTCCAACACGTTTATTTTATAAATATTCATACTCAGGCAAAGGCGAATCACTGAGCCTGGATATCTATATGTAAATAAACTTGTAAATATTATAAGTATAATATATAAGTATAACTTTGTAATTAGAAACAACCAGCATATTATTATAGCATGTATGTATAAATTTACGTAGTAGCTAACTGATTATTGTGTAGATCTTTTATTATTTGCTCAAGTTGCATTAATAAATGGCGAGCGGATGTCCTGACCTCCGTCCTAATCAGCCATGATCTAGGTAATTATGTTAGCTGCTATTGTGAACACACTCCTGGATACGACAGGTATTGTTGCATGGAATGTGCAGCCATTACTTACATGCACCTGACTCATCATTTGGACCAATTTATCCTCACTTATGTACTTACTGCTGTGAAGTATAACTGTCACATAGTTATGTATATTCTCCCATTAAACTCGTAAGCACATAGGAATGCCACATCGGTACCAATTAGTTAAGTGGTCGCAACCACGACTGATGTGAAAGGGTTCTTGGTGGATTGATCATTGTTTTTTTATTGCTCCTCTACTCTCCCTTCGGAGATAGTAAAGATAAAGATCAGACTACGGCGGAATTATCAAATGACTTTTCTCGCCCATGGTGAACAGAGATGGAGTGTCAGACACTTACTGACTAAAATCTACCCGTTCCTTCCTTCCTCTTCCGAGGGCGCGGTACCTTATTGCGCTTGCCGTGCAAGAGGTCTGAGATATGCCAATCTATGTAAGTGGCACGAGAAAACACAAGAAATAGGTTAAGACCAAGATCGTGACGTCATGTGGTTCCAACTCAGTTCCAGTTCATAAGAAAGCCACAAAATAATTTTATGTGACGTCAAATGACTTAGTTACTACTTGTATATTATGATATCATGTAGATACACAGGTGATTGAATGCTCAATGAAATATAAATGTATCTGGTATATAATGATTGATTCATCTATTGTCGATGGTCACCTTATAAGTTGTAGGTGATCCTGTCTGAATGTTTGTCACCACCCAGAATAATACTGTCGTTTGATTTTTTTTGTTACAGTTTCCTTTTTGTTATATATGTATTTATTCTTTGTAACTTATATATACAAATAGTACTTTTCATTGACGTTTTCGTTAATCAAGTAACTATTTCATTTCCAGAATATTTAAGAAATACATCGCCGATTAATTCAACTTTTTTATATGAATTTAACAATAATAAAAATAGTGATTGCCAAACGTGGTAATCAATGAAATGCTTCTAAAGTTTATGAATAAATTTTCGTGATTCTGAAAACCGATCGTAGATATTGTATGCAGTAACACTTTGACACGATTTGCAGTTTTATAGTTTTTATTTCATCTAGGACGACGACCGGCCCTAACCTGGCCTGGAAATCATTTCCTTCGTTTATTTAATATCGTACGCGGACCGGACGTGTTATGCACGGGCTGGATACAGGAGACGTCACGGGTTCTAACACCGACGACGTGCAACTAATTACGTTTGGTGACTAGACTTAGATCAAAATTGTGAATTGTTAAGAACGTGACCCATGTGTTATCATGTGACCTCTTATTGTAGTTCAATCAAATGAAATCGATACGTTTGCGCACCTCTTTGTTAAGACGAGAGGGTTAACAGTAGTTGCGTGGCCACTTTATCGGTGGCTCATGTCAACATGTCCAGTGTATAGTGGTGAACTGTGCGTTCAGAGGCCAACATGCTAGCTCAGCAACGCGCCTACCTTGGCAAAGCCTGGTACTCTACTAATTTACCATCAAAAATTTTGTGTGATTTTGTGTTATTCTAGTGCTAAAGTGCTTCCTCTCTTGTTGCAGTAGTGTAGCTGATGGCTACGGTATGTTCCAGTCCAGGGAACAGATCATCTCCGATTCCAAGGGTCAGTTGGAGATGGAGAATGGAAAGGCCTTGAACAGTCAACACAATGATGGACATCATCATGTTACGCACCCAACTTCGTGAGTACTTTAGACTTGGTGGTTTTTAAATTAACGACTCGAGCCCGGTTTTTTTATAAAATTACTTATAAAATTTAAGTTTGTAAAATAGAAATTGTTATTGCAGCAATTGTATCTATGTATATAAAATGGAGCTTTAATGTTTTTAAAATCAAGTATCAATCACGAAAAAAAAACACAATTATTCATTAATGAAAGCCATTTCCTACCTAATAATAGGCATGTACGAACTTAGCTCCTTTTTTACCACTTGTACATCTAAGTTCTTGTTAAACCTTTGTGTTACATACCTATTTGATAGGTACAAATAATGTTCTATTTTCAAAATATGGAACATAGCGGCTTCTTAGGCATTGTGAAATAGTCCCTAAGAAATGCGCGTCTCCTCTATGGGGTCTAAATAGCGCCATGTTATGTTCAGATATGCCGATACGATGCTGCATCTGTTCCGTGGTAACATTGGTACGGGTCTCCTGGCCATGGGAGATGCCTTTAGGAATGGAGGGATCGTCTTCTCGCCCATTGTCACCGCACTGCTTGGCATCATCTGCGTACATGCGCAACATTTACTGGTGAGTAATAAATAAAATTAGTTTTAATTATCGTTATATACTAGTTTCCTCCCGCGGGTTCGCCCACTTGGTTGATAAAAGTAGCCTGTATATTAATCCAGGGTCTCAACTATCTCAGCCGGGGTTGCGGGGTAAGCGCAACAAGTCATTGCGGCCTCCGGCTAAACCATGAGAAGGAACGGGGATGTTTTTAGTCAGTAAGAGTCTGACACTCGCTCTCCCCCCCACCCGGGGCGGGATAAGTGAATTGATGATTATCCCCTCCCAAATGAAATTAAAAATTAAATGGTCGCCGGGTTTTGTTGTGATTAACAATCCATAAAAATGTCGTGCCGGCCCGGAGGTTAAGGAGCCCGCTTCTGATGCATGAATGTGTAGGTTCGAATCCTGACAAGTACCAATGTGACATTTTCCGAGTTAAATGTATTTTCCATGATTATTTAGACACCACTGACATACGGTGAAGGTAAACATCGTGAGGAAACCTGATTTGTAATCTTTTTAAATAATTATATACAATTTAAACTCCTAATACGAAAAATATAAAGTGGCTGTAAAACATAAAATATAAGGTGGCAAACTTTCTCAAAATAAATTGATTTGAATAAAGATGGACAGCAAAGGCCAAACCCATTCTTGCTGTGAAAGGGCTCATAGAATTATCTAGATTACAAACATAAGACTAACAATTGATTTTATAGTGATTTTGTTTATGTTGGATAAAAACGTTTTAATTATATTGCTGGCCTTGTTTACCTAACGAGTATTTATTTACATGGATGAACTGTTTTAGATTTTTTTTTAGTAATCTTTATATTATTTTATTTTAGTGCAGGCTTCTACCTGTTGAAACACAATGGTCTCATTCGCCATTACGCGGACCTTGTAGGGAAAACTGAACATTGAATTAAGATGACTTCCTTTTAACGGTCAATAAATAAGGCTAGTACGAAATATTATGAATTAATCCAATATTAAAAAACTTTCACTTTCTTTCCAGCTCAACTGTTCAGAGGAAATGCATCGTCAGTCGAAGCGGGACCGTCCGCCAGGATTTGCTGATACAGTTTACCTGGTGTTTGCCAGTGGCCCTCTGAAGTACCGAGGACTGGCAGCCTTTATGAAGGTGATGGTCAACGGGTTCCTCTGCATCACGCAGCTCGGGTTCTGCTGTGTTTACATCGTCTTTATTGCGAATAACGTGAAAATGGTAAGTCAAATGACATTCTAGATTTCTTTTAGAAAATTGATATAACTTCTACTGATCTCTCTTCAGTTAAGAATTGTGAGAATTTAAATTTAATGGAAAAATGCATCGTGCATAGGTAACATACGTTTATCAGCATCTTTATAACTGTGGGCTTCCTCGGCTACCTCACAGAAAACCGGCGTGAAATAACCACTGCGTTGTGTTTCGCCGTGTGAGTGAGGTTACCGGAGGCCCAATCCTTCCCCTTCCCCAATCCCTCCTCAATCCCTAAATCTCCAAATCCCTAATCCCTAAAAGGTCGGCAACGCACTGGTAACTCCTCCGTTGCGAGTGTCCATGGGCGGCGCTGATTGCTTACCATCAGGTAATCCGTCTGCTCGTTTGCCGACCTATTACATAAAAAAAAAATCATTAAGAGGTTACGGATAGATGTTGTTTGGTGTGCTCTTAGTTTTTAAATAGCTACTTACGTCTTATTTCATTAGGTATATGAAAATATATGTAACCAGTAACTTTGCTTACAGATTTGCGACCAGTACAGCATTCATATTGACTTATCGATTCACATGATATTTGTGGTGGTGCCGGTACTTCTGGCTTGCATGGTGCGGAACCTGAAGTACTTGACTCCATTCTCCACCATAGCCAACATTATGATGGCTACGGGGGTCGCCGTTGTGATCTACGAAGCCACCCAGGAGTTGCCGGCCGTGGAGACCAGGGAATACATAGGATCATGGCAACAACTACCTCTCTACTTCGGAACAGCTATTTATGCTTTTGAGGGAATCGGACTGGTGAGTTACATATATAATTTTATGCGCATTTTTGTTACAATACTTGAGCGTTGCAAGACAAGAAGCCTTCGCCTAGCCCAACAGTTCTGCTATAAAAAAAAATGTTCACGGCTAAACAAAAAAGAAAACTATTAATTAGAATTCGTATAGATATTGACATTAGCCATATCTCTTTGCGGAAAAGCACAAAAGTATTTGCGAAAAATGCTTAGCACGTGTTATCAAAATATTTGCACACAATGCGAAAAATAGCACTTAATTTTTTTCTTTTCTTTTCACTTTCAACTGCATTGTCTTCCGTAACCGTTTTATAGAAGTATGTAGTTAACATGTACTAATGCTCTCATCAATTTAAGTAGGTATGTAACGTCTCGCAAAAATATAAAAAGTTTACGTTTGCCAACAGGTTTTACCCCTCAAGAATGAAATGCGCAACCCGGAGAAATTCCAAAAGCCATTGGGCGTGCTGAACGTCGGCATGGTAGTGGTGGGCAGCATCTTCATAACTGTGGGCTTCCTAGGCTATCTGAAGTGGGGAGATGACGTGCTTGGAAGCTTGACCCTGAACTTGCAGCCAGGCAGAGTGTAAGTTTTTAGAACCATATGTTTTATCTTTCAATATATATACCTACAAATCAATGCCATTTTTCGTTGTAATGTTATAACTCAACCATGCCTTTACCGATTTGGCTAATTTTGGTATTGAATTTTTCGTGGAAGTTCAGAAAAGGTTTGTAAGTTGATGAAGAAGAAAATTTAAAAAAATACCTTAAAAAGTGTGAAATCGACATCCACGCGGGCAGAGCCGCTGGCAACCGCTAGTAAACTTATAAAAAACCGTTTGTTTAGCAAAAAAGAGATTTATAGATTCACTTGCAAAATAAAAATTTTCTTTCATTCGAATCGCAGAATACAATTGTGGTAGTTCTTTTGAGGAAAGAACTACCACAGTCTGACGGTCCATCAGTCGCTAAGGATGTTCATTATTAGTAGTTTGTAATAATATTTTTTCTCCTTATACTGTGATAACTTAAGTATTTTTATTGAAATATATTAGCATCGATTTATTTTGAATATCTTTTTCAGGCTCAGCAACGTGGTCCAGGCTTTGATCGCACTATCGATTCTGTTTACGTACCCGCTGCAGTTCTATGTACCTGTTGCTATCACTTGGCCGACCATACAGAAGAAGTTCGCTGCAACAAACCCCATTGCTAAGGAGCTGGGTTACAGAGCTCTGCTGGTACTCCTTACTTGTAAGTACTTTTATAAATGATTGTCAAAAGAATCTTCATAAAATTCATTTGTATCTAAAAAAAATATTAATTAACTGTCTCAGCAACAGAGGTCCTGAATTAAAAGTAAAACATTTCGATATAATATTTTGTGTTTCAAAACGGGCACTTACTCTCCACCCTTTCTTGTGGAAGTAAAATCATCAAATGATTTCTCTCGGCCAGGGTGCGCGAGAGGAAGTGTCAGGCTTTTAAGCCTGTTTCTTATCTTACTCCGGCCTATAGCCATGGTACATACCTACTCTTACACTATCGCGCTTATTCTTCAACCCTGGGGTGGCCCAGCTTGAGTCTATAGATACATTATCTATACGTCCCTCGAGCCCCAATTTTATATGCCATGCCTGATCGTTGGTTTTGTTTCTTAGTTGTTCTAGCAGAATCGATTCCAGAGCTCGGTCTGTTCATCTCACTGGTGGGAGCCGTGAGCAGCACAGCCTTGGCCCTGATGTTCCCGCCCCTCATCGAGCTCGTGTCCACATCACAGAAGCCTGGAGGAATTCCCAAACACATGCTACTCAAAGACGGGTTTATCATCCTTCTAGGATTGTTTATTTTCGTCACTGGAACGTACGAGAGCGTGGTTTCCATCGTCAGGGCTTTCCAGGTCTAGATCTTATAGTTAGATAATAGATTAGTGGTAATTAGTGGTCTATTGTTGACTCATTATAATACAACCTCTATATTTTTAGATATCGCGGGTCGAGTTTTGTAGTTTGACTATTTCTTAAATGATATTGAATATTTATTTTCTATTTATTGTTTTAAACTATTTTGTATACCATTTTAAAGTGTAATGAAATATTAATAATACTGTCCAAGACAGATTAATTGTAGTAGAGTTGTTACTTATATTTTATGAACATTTACCACATGGCTACTGTTGTTGGTTCATGTCATCTACCTGTAGCTATCTCTATCTGTTGTTCTACGTTTAAAGTTTACAAGTATTTTTTGTCTAGAGTGATAGTAGTGTGTTGTCCCTTAAGACTATGTTTTGACAAATTTTTGCCTAGTATCTAAGACTTTGAGCTAAATGTGAGAATTTCGAATTTATTGAACTAGGCACTACGTACGTGTTAAACTTCAAATTAATCTTAAGCTTATGAACTCGTTTAATGTAATGTACCGTTAAATAGTAACCAGATCACAACAAGGGTATATAATACGCAAATCATATCTGCGATCATATTAGATAAACATGTAAATCCCCATATCTACCTACCTTTCATTAGCGCATCTAAATGAACTTTTACTTACGTCAATTCTAAAGAAGACCTGGTTTTCTCTTTCAATATCACCTTCAGTCAGATAGGATCATTCATCAGACGATGGCTGCACAATCGTTTTAAGGTTTTTAAAATCTGTATGTGGTTATAGATATTAATTGCATGCACGTACCTGAGTGATGCAGGTTAGATATTACCTATAGATACCTATCTGTTAAGCTTAGTTGTACCTAGCTAATACATAGTGCATTCTTTATTTCTCGAAATATGATTTCAGAAGAATTTTACTTTCGTACAAGATTAAAAAGTATTCCAGTTTATGATGATGAGTATAAGGAACATTATATTTTCTTATTCTTATTCACTTTTGATCTATTTTATCATTATCATAAGCTCTCTCTTCTTTTTAAGTGTCCCTACCAATGTTTCTGATAAACAGATTAAATTAGGAAATTAGATGGATACCTACATACTTATCAAACAAATTAATTTAATTGCATGAAATATTACATACATTCAGTAAGATTGTTTATATTTTATTCATATAAAACCTCCGAAGCACGGACTATTGAAAAAACATTGCTAGAGAGCATTAAACTCCGAATTTTGCATTAAACCTGGTAATACACAAAATGTGTGTAACTTTAATTATAATTAATAAAAGTATACGATTTTATGTTGTGCTATAAAATTACGATGACCAAAGTATTTAAGAGGCCTGTAGGTAAACCTACATGTACACCAACTATAGCAGCTCGATTCTCGATATGTTATTTAGAAAATAAGCATAATAATTTAAGTAATCCTAATCTAATCCTTTTTACAAGTATTTTTAAGTTTCAATCTTGTGTGGTCTGTTTTCTATTCGTATCATTATTGGTTTGCAGATAATAAAATCTAGTTTTTTTTTTGTTTTCTTATCTCTAAACTAGATTACATTTAAATATTATTGTTATTTCTAATATTACCTGATTACGTATCACAATAATTTAATTTTAGCTAATTTAATGTAGGTACAAAATGTGGGGGAGGATCCACCCACCTTCTTGATGTGAACTGAAGTAAAAAAAACCAAACCATAATGGGTGGTTGGTGGTACAAAAAGTTGATAATAAATAAATAAATAATTTATCAGAATGGTCGCATTACGAAAGAAACATAAAGATAAGATCGCAACTTCACAATTATGCTTCTGGGGCCATCCCCGCCAGCAAAAGTGTTAAGTGTAATTGTTGATATTATCTTTAGTTTCTTTCGTAACTAATTAAAAAAAATGTATTATTTGTATGTTTTTGTCATTGAGCGTAGGTCGCTTCCAAGAGGTCTATGTGGATATCATTATAACCTATGTTTAACAGTAGAAGTCTTTTAATTAATATGAAGTTTGGGCCTTGGGCTGATTATGAAGATGAAGTTTTACAATTGTTTTATATAATATTTATTTATGTTAAAAGTTTTTCCTTTACATATGAATGAAAACTTTGACTCAAGTCAAAGCTGTTCGGCATTTCGTTGCAAGGTTTCAAACGGCTAAAAATATTAACTATTCATACTAATTTAGGTGCAACTTGTGCGGGTCACAGATAGTTAATGCTAATATACAATATGTCTGCAATCTATGGAGTATTTATCCATTTGAATGTGATAATTTAACAATGAAACTGCACATAGGTATATTATTATATTTATAGGTGTGTTATATTAATATATTCTGTGATACAACGTAATAATAAATGTTCTCGTCTGAATATTTACCTGGTTTCATTCTATCGAATTTTCCCACCACACACAATTCAATAAAATAAAACAATTCTGTTGATTAGGTACTTTATTCTGGACTGATAATTTCAAAAATACGTTACAATACTAATAAATAATTACCGAAGCCACATCTTATCGCATCTAAGATAATATATAGGAAAAAATGGCTCTTCCTAAAACTTGTATCAACTAGATACTTATTAAAAGATTACAGATCTTTAGAGATAGCTATCTAAGTATATTTAGGTAACATAGTTAATATTGAAACTGCAATTGATGATAAAATGAAAAATGTATTGTTGAGACGACGACGTTGAGTAAAACTGCAGATTAAATGAATTGTTAAAGGAAGAGCCACCGCCCACACGTTTACAGATGGTACGCAGACACCAAGCCTAACTATTACCAGCCATGCTACATAAATTTGTCCTAATCCTTAGTTAGTAACTATCTATACAGTCCATGAAACGTCTGCGACACCACTCACGCAAGCATGTGGGCGAAGAAGCGTAGACGACACTTAAATGCCTAAATCACACACTTGTACGCACTTACTCAACTGGGAATCAAATAAACACATCATAAAAGTAAAATGTTTAAGAAAAAATTGGTTGACCAAACTACATACTTTTAAGTACAGATGTGTTAAAGTTCTGTACTAATTAAGTACTTCACAGGACATAATGTAGTGTTTTTAATAATCGCCCAATTTATTTTCGTAACACCTTACGATGAGTCCAGATGTGTATACATACATAGGAGGTTCACAAAAAAACAAAGTCTCTATAAATTCTGAGAATTATTTTAAAATTAATAAAACATTATGAGATTAAATAAAATAAATTAATTAAATAATAATAAATTGTGAAACTGGTAAAAAAATTAAAGCCATAATGTAATTGGGTATCGGTACACTGAACAGCTTACTCAGTCTACCATATTTGACCACGAAAAAAGATTGTCGAAATAAAAAACGATCACAACAGACAGAATGGTGGTGTGTTCTGCAGGGTATGGTGCCTTCGCTAGCTATGAAGACGTGACTTCAATGCAGTAATCAAGACAATAAATAAATAATAAATTACAATAAAATAGTGTGCTAGACCGCAAATGTAAATGTCTTAGAGAAATAAAACCTTAAAAAGTATATTAAAATGTACATCACAAAGATCAATTTCGCGAAATTAAATTACAATAAATAAATTAATTAATATCATTATTTCGGTAAAAAAACTTTTGCAGCAGTGTCCATGGAGGATTTACAAACTTTTCAGAAGTTTTAAAATTACTATTTTAGCCAAAGAATACTTAGTATATTTTCATTTTGATTGCCTTCGGTGGATCTCAAGATCCCTTGAAACACTTCAGGTTAACTAAACCCGGTAACTAATTCTTTGACTATTCAGTTTTACAAAAAAAAGAGACAAAACAAAAAATATAAAACAGTAGTCCACTAGTTTCAGTGTTACGTAAAAGTGTGTGTGATTGGTACACGCTGAAGATAGTTAGAGTAAATACGACTTATAGGTACATACTGGGATATATAATAGAAAAAGATTATTATGCACTGGACTTACTTGCTAACACTACTTGTTGGGTATACATGAGATAAAATATTAAAGGATTTATAAGGTGTCCCGATACACTTGGCCGATGTACTGAATGTTATTATTACTTGATTAGCAGCGACGTCAACACCCAGACTATCGCTGAGGGCGCCAGGGCTGAGAAGTTATCCAAGCTAAACGAATTTATCGTTTCAAAGAGTATAGTGCACAGAATATTGTGACCTTGTGCTTATGACTGAGAAAATTTTTATGCGTTAGAAAAACGCAAGGCAATTCCCGCTAAGAAAATTGACATTTTATATAAAACAATATTTTTTAGAGACCACGAATGCTACTTGTTTCTTAAACTGTAATGCTTCACCCCACTTACGATTTACTATGACATTAATAAATTCAAAATTCGAGTAAAAATACATTCCTATAAATATAGTTAATGCAATACACTTACACTGTATAACTAGCAATCTTCAGCGCATACATCGAGTATACAATATAATAATGTATATGAACATACATGTTAATACTAGGACCCTTCCTTACGACCACGTCGCTAGACGAGGCGTTTGTACTAGTCAATAAATACTAAACATAAGTACACTGCACATCAACACCAACTTACATCTAAATATATAATACTGTTTACCAGAATAGAAACACATTTCAGAACTTATTATTACACGACCTAATTTGGACAATTTGAGAGCTTGTTGTATCATCTATGTAGATTAATTGTTGGTAAAAATATATACAAGATTTTAAAGGTACATACATGTAAGCCATTTATAAGTTAAATAACTTATTTAATTACACAGAATTTGATACGACAAACATACGGTTTTATCAGAAGACCATTCATGGCGTTGTAAATGGTGTAACATTGCCCGGACATTTTAAGTCAGCTATCAATAAGAGAGATTTAAGAATATTAATAATAATAATTGGCCTTGCATGTGTTTCCTTCCATCTAATACAATTATTGTTGTAGGAAATTTTTATGGCCTCAGTTCTCAGCAAACGTGCGTAAAGAATCACACGGTGTACTGCATAACATCGCTGCGTTCACAGCTAGATACAAACTTCTGCTTGTGTTAAATGTCCACATAATTCTTACGATCCACTCGAAAACCATTTGCGAAGACGATAAGCACAAAGAAATTCTTTAAAACTTTACCACAATTATACTATCGAAAAGTTTTACTTTTCACTCGACATGCTTATCGCGAAATAAATCGATATTCAATAAATTTATAATTTAGCTCAATCGATATGATTTTCGAGTCGACTAATATATATCTTAAATTTTTCGTCACAGCTCTATTTTCTCACTAGCTTAACTTATAGCAAAAATTTGAGTTAAATACACATGCATAGTT